TCCTGCCACTGACCAGTGAGATGGCGACGGAGGTCAGCAAGCCACGCATCAAACTCAATCGGCTGGCCCTCAGCGTCAAAGCAAAGCACCGCCGCCATGAGTGACAATAGAGGGCAGTGTAGAGTAGGACAGTGCGGTGCAGTGCGGTACAGTACGGTACAGTGCAATGCAGTGCGGTACAAAGTGGTATAGTGCGGTACAGTACGGTACAGTGCGGTGCAGTGCGGTACAAAGCGGTGCAGTGCGGTGCAAAGCGATGCAGTACGGTACCGAGGGGGGGTTCGGAGGGCGGTGCTGATCGGAAAGAACGGGCCGAACCCGAGGCAGCGGCGGGCCGGCGACGGCGGCCAGGGACAGCTGCAACGGTGGCCAGGGACAGCCGCGATGGCAGCCAGGGGCAGCCACGACGGCGGCTAGGGACAGCCGCAACGGCGGCGAGGGGCGGCCACGACGGCAGGAGCGACCGTGAGGCGGCTGGAGACGGCAGCGGCGGCGGCTAGGGACGGCCGCGACGGCGAGGGGCGGCTGGGACGACTAGGGGCGGCCGAGGGACGGCGGGAGGCGGCCGCGACGGCGGCTAGAAGCAGCCGCGACGGCTAGGGGCGGGCTCAAGCGGCCAGGGGGCCTGCGAGGAGCGGGCGCGAAACGGCCAGGGCTCCGGCTAGGAGGGGCTCGACGGCCAGGGGGCCGGCTAGGGACGGGCGCGAACGGCCAGGGGGCCGGTTAGGGACGGGCGTGAACGGCCAGGGGGCCGGCTAGGAGCGATCGCGACGGGCAGGGAGCCGGTTAGGAGCGGGCGCGACGGACAGGCGGCCAGCTAGAGACGGGCGCGATGGCTAGGGCGCCGGCTAAGGGCGAGCGCGACAGCCAGGGGGCCAGCTAGGGGCGGGCGCGAACGGTCAGGGGTCGGCTAGGGACGGGCGCGACGGTCAGGGGGCCGGCTAGGAGAGATCGCGGCGGTCAGGGGGCCGGCTAGGAGCGGGCGCGACGGCCAGGGGGCCAGCTAGAGACGGGCGCGACGGCCAGGGGGCCGGCTAGGGACGAGCGCGACGGCCAGGGGGCCGGCTAGGGACAGGCGCGAACGACCTGGGGGCCGGCTAGGGACGAGCGCGAACGGCCAGGGGGCCGGCTAGGGACGGGCGCGAACGGCCAGGGGGCCGGCTAGGGACAGGCGCGAACGGCCAGGGGGCCGGCTAGGAACGTAGGGGCGGAAGCGTGAGCGGGCTAGGGGGGGATCTAACCTACTATGATACCATATCAGAAAGAAAATGATTGAACTGGAATGTGTGTACAAGGATATATAGACTAGGGTGTTGTACCCTCTAAGGCACAATCCAGTATAGTCTACAGTAACGACCTAAGTTACATTTGACATTGTATGTGTCAGATATGTCAGGGACCCTGTGACGCGCAGATACAGAACTGTGGCATGCTGAATGCATGAAATGCACTTCAGCATAAAGCTTTAACACTAACAATCATCCTCATCATCACTGCTGTCATCTTGATCAGTGCTGCACTCCACCTTGAGCTTCTCCATAAGCTCATCAAAAGCGCTGCCCTCTGATCTATCATGAAGGTCAAACGGAGCCCCACTAGCAGCTCTGAGCCCCACCTGAACGCCACTCCTCGATTCTACAATCCTCATCTCCACTATTTTGGAAGGCCAGCAGCAGGGCTTGTCATTGTGCAGTTGATCTTGAGCTGATGAGACAGTCGCAATACTGGATGATTGATGATGCATCGTGGATTTCTCAGAATAGATGTCCTCCAGTTCCTCCCAAGAGAAAAGAAGAGGCAGCGTGGCTCCACCATATGTGTTGAAATCAACAAGCTTTACTCGGCCATCACGAGTGATGTAAATGTCAAACGTATCTGCATAAGGGTTGACAAATGACAAGGAAGGGAAAAACATTGGCGTGCATCCAAGCAAGGAGGGGGGCAATGTGGGCTGGCTTGGGGAATTTGGGTGTGAGGGAGTGAGCAAAGAATGGCGAGTCTCGTGCTATGCTTCACAAATGCTTGGGACTGCAGCAAGGTGGCACATGAGCTGCTGGTGTGTGGGTTGGCATGTAAACGCCATGTTATTGTGTGCGGTGATTTCCTAGAAAAGGTGCCTTTTGCATGCACCAGTAGAGCGGGGAGAAGAGGGTGGAGTGAGAAACAGCCTAGCACCTGATAAAATAAACGCGCCAGTCTGTTGGTTTCTATAAGGCACATGGATGTGCATGACAAAACTTGCTCAGGGAGAAAAATGGCAATATCAAGTGCTCTTACAGTGAGAAGAGGGGAATCTTCCATGGATACTGTTGCTGTAGAAGTCACATATCTGAAGCTTGAGGTCTTGATGGGAGTCAACAAGAAAAGGGTAAAACGATGTGATCTCTCTCTGACAGATTCCTGTTTGGAAGGAAATCAACGCACAGGGGGAGGAGAGAAAGACAGACAAGAGTGGTGGGTTGCCAGGATCTGGCAAGATGCACAAAACAAGCAAACAACACAATACGTCAAAAGTACTTGAGAGCCAGCCATACCAATGAGCTGATGGGCCTTGACAAAGCAGCGAAACTCCATTTCTGGCCGCAGGTCGAACCACTTGCGCAAGGCAAGCACAAACTCAGAAGGCCGGCTCTGCTGCACACACTCCCGCTCCTCCATTTCTTCCACCTGCTGCTTTTGCTGTGGCTCTGCACCGGCACTATCATTGATTGCATCAGCTCTGCTGGCCTCCTGTTGCTTCTCATCTGTTTCTGCAGCCACACTTGCTCCTCCATTGCTCCGGCTTCCAGGCTCTGAGTCACCGGCAACTGATGGTGCTTCTGCCCTGTCTGACTCAGGACTATCAACACAACTGTCAAAGCTGTCACACAAAAGAGAAAATGGCAAATGCTGTTGTCTCATTACAATGCCAAGGCAAATGCTATTGACTCATTACAATGCTTAGGCAAATGCTGTTGATTCATTACAGTGCTAAGGCAAATGCTGTTGACTCATTACAGTGCTAAGGCAAATGCTGTTGAGTCATTACAGTGCTAAGGCAAATGCTGTTGACTCATTACAGTGCTAAGGCAAATGCTGTTGAGTCATTACAGTGCTAAGGCAAATGCTGTTGAGTCATTACAGTGCTAAGGCAAATGCTGTTGACTCATTCCAGTGCTAAGGCAAATGCTGTTGTGTCATTACAGTGCTAAGGCAAATGCTGTTGACTCATTACAGTGCTAAGGCAAATGCTGTTGACTCATTACAGTGCTAAGGCAAATGCTGTTGAGTCATTACAGTGCTAAGGCAAATGCTGTTGACTCATTACAGTGCTAAGGCAATTGCTGTTGACTCATTACAGTGCTAAGGCAAATGCGTTGAGTCATAACAATGCTGTTGCTGTTGGCAATGCTTTCTGCACTTGTGTGAAACGAGGAAGTGGGCAGGGAACACAGGTAAGCAGAGGGGAGCTCGGGAACATAAGAACATACGCATGGCAGAGGTCATAGGTGAGGGAGTCGGAGGCCTTGAGAAGCAGAAACACCTCCTGAGCGTTGCTGCACTTGGGCGTGCCCGTTGCACTCAGCCAACCCACGTCCTGGAAAACGGAGGGGGATGGGGGAACAGCGGAGCAGGAAGCCAGGGTTTCAGGGTTGAAGGTTTAAGGTGAGAGTGAAGAAAGGATTCACGAGACTGGTAGAAAGATGCAGCGAGCCAAAAGGATGTCGGCCTCGAACCGTGCCCATCAGTCATTACTTTCGTTATGCAGACCAAACCCTTGTTTCACAAAAGCCTTCAGCACCCACCTTGGGGCAGCTCCAGTTCAGTTTCGGCAGCACGGCTCCCCCCAATCGCGCAATCGCGGCGTCAACGGCGGCCTCGAACGCGGGGAAGGCGGGCACCTCGGGCTCCTCGGCTTCGTCCTCCTCCTCTTTCAACCCCTCGTAATCATCGCGATGCGCCTCCCACTCGCCCAGCCGCGTTCGCGTGGGCAACTGTTACACAGGCAAGCGGAGAAGCGATGACAATATTGTAAGCTTGGACTGGACGAATGGCTGAAACTCTCCACGGGCGGCGAAGGGTTTCACGAAAAATATGAAATAGAGACAGTTTCGTGAGGGCTGAGAACGTAACCGAGTTATCCTAGTGTCGCGCTGCGTACTCGGACTTTCTTAGGTCAGGGATTTAAACATGAGGGGTCCTCCAAATATTGTGCAAGGGAAGGGAGGGAGCAACGCGCACCTACCGCCTTACACGAAGCAGGAAGGAAAATTCCGTCCGAGAGGAGGTAGTCGACGAATTCGAGAGGGAGGGGAATGATCTCCGTGCGGAGCGACACGGAGCGGAATTTGGGGTACCAGCTCTGGATCTGACACGCGAGCACGTCGTCGCGACGCATGGCTGGGGTCTTGGATAACGGCACTCACGGTGAAACGCCCACACGTGTAACATGCACTAACTGTGCCAAGGTCTAACCGCGGAAATCAATGCACCGACTACCCTGTGTGGAATTTGCAGATCAGATCAGCATGCGAGGGCTCCGACTGCACCGTGTTAGGTCTTCCCGCTAATGCTGTAGTTAGTGCGTGTCCGAAGAGTACGGCCACCGCACACTCTGTACAGGTCCAATACGGTGCCCAAAGGTATGACGCGGTGAAGTGGGGAAACCGATTTCAAGCGTGTTGCACCGTACACCACCGCAGACGTTGTGTGTGGGACGTACTCTTGGGACATACTCTAGGTGTGTGGGACGTACTCTAGGTCTTTAGACAATGACAGTTCTACTGCTCTGCTTCTACTAGTGGGTACTACAGACTAGTTGCAAGTCCCAGCGCGGATGCTCCTGGGCAGACCCAGGATTTTGAACCTCAAGCTCGAAGGAATAGATGGGTGGCAGACGGTTTACAGGTTATCAGAACGGTTCCATGCGGTATACCGTGATGTACATACTCGTCCAGGGAATCTCGACGTGCGATATGGTACGACTTGCTATGCTGCATATTATACCGAAGTTCACAGGTTGGCACTTAATCTCATCAACCATCTCGTGAGAAAGAATTATATTTTCCCAAATCAACCAAGCTAGATGAACCAGGCATGGTGGTTAATTTCAATCCATGGCGTAACATAGCGTAGCCTACTGCAGCTAGCCACCTGACCTGGTTCAATTCTCTCAACATTCCAGCATGGTCACAACTGCCCAGTCGCTGCTTGAATCGCTTGTTTCATTTCATCCTTCTCAAGGCTTGCTTCCACAAGCACCTGCACACAAAGCATGGTTTATCAAATAAGCCAGGTAACCAAGCAACGGATAACTTTTAAGCCTACCATTGGTTTGGAACATGGAGGGCATTAAACCATTATGAAAGACGCGTTCAAATGGGGAAATATTTTTACCTCTTGAATGGTCAGCCCTGATCGTGCAATAAGCTTGCACCCTTTGTCGGACTGTGAGGCCAGGAATATCTGTGATAACAGATGGAAGACATATGGTGTCAGGGGAAGGTAAGATTGAAGAAGAGGCACTGCGATAAAAAACGGGGTAAGGAAACTCCATGCTTATAAAATCAGTATGCAGCTGCTGTATAATCATCACAGTAATCACCTGCAAAACCAGCACCCCTCACAAGCTCTCAATCCTTAACTTGTAATTCGCAATAAAAAACCCCGCTAATGTTCGAGAACGATGATGGCCCTACCTGAAATCCAGGAGCCAATGCCCCTCCTCTGATCACACGGCCCAGATTCACCGAGGCTATGCCAGGTGTCGCTCTGAGGTTGGCTGCCACTGCTTCTAGCTCTGCTGCTGCCTGTAAGGCGGATTGTGGAGAGTTAGCGGAGGGATGGATGAAAGTAGAGTCCATTTCTGAGGCACCTCAATAATAGCTTTAAGCTCAGCTGCTGCCTGTATTGCAGATTGTGGAGAGTTAAGGGAGCAAGGTGTGGAGGGATGAAAGTAGAGTGAGGGGGAGTGAAGGAGAAAGAGTGAAACAGGGAGGGAAGAGGGAGGAGGAAGATAGAAACGAGGGGGGGATTCAAGATGGAGGAGGGAAGGGAATGAAGCAGCGAACTGAGAGCGGGAAGCGGTAGAAACAAGAGCAGCAGAGGGGAACAAGAGAACAAAAAAAAAGAGAGTAGAGCACGATACCGGCCAGCCAAACAAAGCCAGCCGTCCCAGCCAGACCGCACCTAACCCAGCCTGCTCTTCCCTGTGCCGCCCAGCCGTCCCTGTACCCGCACCTTGTCACCTGCTCCCCACACCCACTCACACTCACCTCACCTGCTCCCCACACCCACTCACACTCACCTCACCCGATCCCCACACCCACGCACCTCAAAGCTTGGAGGACTGGTTGGGCCAGAAGCAGCCGTTTCAGATGACTTGAGGAGCTCCGACAGTGGTGCGAGGGACGACTGCCCCCATCCCTGCTGCCCCTGCCGCCCCTGCTCCACTGCCACCACTAGCCGCTTGTCGACGGGCTTGCTGCGCAGCACACGCACCTGTAGGGGCTGGGAGTTGGGTAGGGAGGGGAGAGAGGGAGTGGATGGGTAGGGAGGGGAGAGAGGGAGTGGATGGGTGTGAGACGTCTGCTGCTGCCCCTGCTCCTGTTCCACTGCCACTAGTAGCCGCTTGTCAACAGGCTTACTTTGCAGCACACGCAATATGCAATATGCGATATGCAATATGCAACACACAATATGCAATTTGCAATATGCAATCTGCCATTCATGTTGTGTTTATTGGGTTGTGAGGGAGAGCATATGCTGACGTCACTCAGCATATGCTGACGTCACTCACACCCTTCCTCAGCAGAGAGTAGCTGGCAGGGATCTTATCTGCTGCAGGCCTACCTGGCCAATAGGAAAGGGCCACGTGTCCACTGTTCCTTCCTGCAGCTGAGGGATTTTGTCGTAATGAATCATGATGTTTACGCCCTCCACCTGTGAGGGAGTGACACGTGGCATGGTGTGAGGGATATTGGGAGGAAGAGTGGGAGGGAAAAGATAAGGAATTGACATTGCTGGGAGGGGAGAAATAAGGAGGGAAGCAGGTTGCAAAGAGAGGGATTTAACAGCTTACACACTCTAAACATGTGCATGCACTTGATTGTAAGTAGGGTTGATGGTCTAACACAACTTAACCATGACCAAAAGTACATAATGTTCCGTGGTACCTGAACTGTCATGTTCTTGTCGCCGATGTACACTACTGTAGACGTTACAATATCTCCTGCTTCAAGCCGGTGCTGATGAGGTCATGCCATGTACATGCACATGTGGAGGGGAGCGAACACAAATGCACATAATGACACACAGGCACACACATGCACATAAAGACACACAGGCGCACACAAGCACATAAAGACGAACAGGCGCACACGTGCATGCACAAAGATGCAGCAGCACGCAGGCAACCATGACTTGTCCATGCTCCTAAATAATCACCAGCGCTCCACCCGAGGGGTCGGGACAATCTCCTTTATTTGGCAGAGCAAACATGCCTCCTCCATTTATTTTCTTCTTACTTACTCCTTAGTCCAACAAATCCCAGGAACCCACCTGCAATTGCTCCCTTCGCTCCTGCCTCTCTTTGTCCTCCAGATCAGCCCCCCTTTGCGTCACAAACACAGAGCGGGCCCTATAGTCACACCTCTCGACCCTCACTCGAACGTCCTGATGGGAGATCAAGAGGAGACAGGAGGGAGGAGGGAGGTAAAAGGAAGATGTTAGCGAAATAGAGGGAAGATTGGAAAAAATGAAGGCACTTTTCCACTCTCACTCGAACCTCCTAATAGGAGAATGAGAAGTGAGGGGAGGGAGTGAGAGGAAGAAAGGAGGGAGAGGGAGGGTAGTGAGCAGGGAGATTGAAGGGAAAATGAGAGGGGATGTAAAGGGAAGCGGGGAGGGAGCGAAAAGCAGTGGGGGGAAGTTGAGGGAGCCAGAAAAAGAGAAATAGGGAGAGAGAAGAAGAAAACTTATACCACCTCACTGCTAGAAGTTTTCACTTGAGAGAGAAATAGGGAGTTGAGAACAAAAAAAAAACACCAAAAAACAGTGAGGGGGGGAGGATTGGGGGTTCCAGAGGAAGAGAAATAGGGAGAGAAAAGATGAATGAATCTAATTCTACCGGCCAGTCACAAGGGGTTTGAGTTGAGGTGCCTCAGTGCGGTCGGTCATATTGGGGAAAAGGGGGAGAGGAATGAAGGGGAGAGGAACGAAGGGGAGAGGAAGAAGGGAAGAGGGAAGTGGTTTCAACAAAACTTGTAGCGGTAGTGATAATGGAGAGGGAGGGCGTAAGGCGGCGTTTTGGATGCCAAGCCAGCTACTGAAAACCCTACCCTTGAGTGATTGCCAAGTCCTACCTCCCCCAAGTAAGTCGAGAAGAGAGCAAGTTTCTCTTGGGTGTACTCTGCACTCAGTTGCGCCTTCAACGCCTCAACACCCTCCCCTCCCTCCCCTCCCTCCCCTCCCTCCCCTCCCTCTCCTCCCTCCCCTCCCTTCCATCCCTCCCCTCCGTCTCCTCCCTCCACTCCCCTCTCTTCCTCCAACCCCTTTTCTCGCCCTTGCTTTCCTCCCTCCTCACCCCTTCCCCCCTTCTCGTTCTTGACTTTCCCCTCCGCCCCCTCCCCACCTCCCCCCTCTACTCCACCGCTTTCTTCCCTCTCTCCAAACAGGTTAGGGTCGTGCCCCTTGGCTCGGAGCCAGCCTCGGAAACTCCACCTTCGAAGCTCCGGCAGCAAGTAGCTGGCTGGGAGGAAGGCTTGGACGCCGCTGATGGATAGCTGAAAGGGGGGGAGGGGGTGGGGATGGGTTGGGGGGGGATTGGGTGTGCGTGTATGGGAATGCTGGAGGGAGGGAAGAGGACATTTCTGGCAGCAGGTAGCTGGCTGGAAGGAAGGCTTGGACGCCGTTGATGGATAGCTGAAGGGGGGGAGGGGGAGAATGGAAGAGGGGGAAGGGGAGATGGATGTGTGAGAATGGGTGGGAACGAAGGGGGGAGAGAGCTCCAGCAGTAGATAGCTGGCTGGGAGGAAGGCTAGGACGCCTTTGATAGATACCTGAGGGTGGGGGAGGGCAAGGGGTGGGGGAATGGGTGTGTGTGTATGGGAACGCTGGAGGGAGGGGAGAGGACATTTCAGGCAGGAGGTAGCTGGCTGGGAGGAAGGCTTGGACGCCGTTGATGGACAGCTGAAGGGGGGGGTGGGAGGGGGAAAGGGGGGGGGAAGGGGGGGGGATGTGTTTGGAAGGAGGGTCCAAGTAGGGGACGGAGGAGGTGGTGGGGGTGAGAGGAAATGAGGGGAGGGGGGGCAGGGGAAGTAGAGACACTCTGGGAAAGGAGGTAGGTGGATGGGGGGAGGAGTTGGACGGAATGGATAGATAGGTGGGGGGGAGGGGGGGGTGGGTTGGAACTTGGAGGACAGGGGGGTTGGGGGAGGAGAGGCAGTGGTGGGTGAGTGGGGGTGGGAGGTTTTGCAACGCAGCTAAGGGGGACGGGGGTACAGTACAGCTGTTTTGCCATATCCATAGCTACAAACAGTACAGTACAGTACAGTACAGCACAGTACAGTACAGTGCAGCTATGGAGGGAGATGGCTGGATGCAGGAAAGGAAAGCTTGCAATAAGGCTGCTGTTACCGAAGTTCGACTTGCAGGTGTATAAACCAGGTTTTTACACCTGCTGCAAGTCAAACTTTTATCTAAAATCCCTCGTTTCACTAGAAACTCAGCTGCAGCCACGCAATGTCAACCTCCACTTAATAGTGGTGCTCCTTGGGTTGGGTGCAGTACAGCTACAGTAAGTTTTTTTTTTTTTTTTTTTTTTTTTTTTTTTTTTTGCTTTTGAGTCGACGCAAAAGCAAAAAGTGGTGCTCCTTGGGTGCAGTACAGTACAGCTGTGGAAGGAGTTGGCTGGATGGAGGAAAGGAAAGCTTGCAAGAAGGCCACTACTGCAGAAGTTCTTGAGACGTGCTGATCACGCGGCATTTTATACCACACCACGAGCCATCTTAGACACGACAAGAGAGTTGGACGGATGAGAGCGAGGGGTGGAAAAAATGAAAGAGAGAGTGAGCAGCTTACTACAACGTAATTGCAGCTGGCGACTGTAGCTGTCACTATTGTGCGCTCCTGGTGTTTTGAACCCAAGAGGGAGAGGTGTATTTTGGGAGAGCCGACTCAGAATACACCTCGACTTTCACCGTCATCACCATTGTGCGCTCCTGGTGTTTTGACCCCAAGAGAGGGAGAGGGACGAGGAAGGGAGGGCGCAGCGCAACGCAGCTTACCACGAGGCCGCCGTAATTGCAGCTGACGACTTTAGCTGTCACGGTTGTGCGATCCTTCACAGCCTGTTCTATGGGGTGCTCGTCCTGCCAATGTCAGAGGGGGAGGTGTGATGGATGAGAGATAAGGTGGAAGAGGGGGGAGGGAACAGACACTGACCGCCACGGTTGTGCGCTCCTTCGCAGCCTGCTCTATGGGCTGCTCCTCCTGTTGAAGACAAGCCGTGGTGGGGATGGTGAGGGGCGTGGGTGGGGATGGTGAGAGGCGTGGGTGGGGATGGTGAGAGGCGTGGGTGGGGATGGTGAGAGGCGTGGGTGGGGATGGTGAGAGGCATGGGTGGGGATGGTGAGGGGCATGGGTTGGGAGGCTTCATTCTAACAGGCTTCATTCTAACAGGCTTTATTCTAACAGGCTTCATTCTAACAGGCTTTATTCTAACAGGCTTTGCCAGAACGGAAGGTGGAGGAGGGGGGGGGGGAACAGGCTTTGCCAGTCGCTGTTGTGCGATCCCTCACAGCATGCTCTGTGGGCCGCTTGCCCTGTTGAGAACAAGCCATGGCGGTGACGGTATGGATGATGGTGATGTGGGATGATGGTGATGTGGGATGACTTTTGAGGATTCTAAAAAACACCCTGTTATGTCTTTTAGAATTCTAAAAAGCAGAAAGCAACGGTAGAGGGGGGAGGGAACCGGGAGGGACAGGACGTTGAGGCGGAATGAGCTTTGGCTGTATGGGCTGGCTTTGGCTGTATGGGCTGGCTTTGGCTGTATGGGCTGGCTTTGGCAGTATGGGCAGGCTTTGGCTGTATGGGCTGGCTTTGGCTGTATGGGCAGGCTTTGGCTGTATGGGCAGGCTTTGGCCGTATGGGCAGGCTTTGGCTGTATGGGCAGGCTTTGGCTGTATGGGCAGGCTTTGGCTGTATGGGCAGGCTTTGGCTGTATGGGCGGCCGTGAGGACGAGGACGGGGATGGAGACAGCGGCGGCGGCAGGGGAGTAGAGGGGGGGAGGGGAGAGGGGGATGGTGGTGGTGATGACGAGATGGATGGTGGGGAGCTTTTGAAGGAAATGAGGGGTTAAGGCATGGAGGACCAGCTAATTGTGGGTAGAGTTGAAGGTTACCTCAGGCGTGGTATTAAGTCCCCACAGCTTGAGTCCCTCCAGCAAATCACCGCTCACACCAGCTCTTGGCAAAGCGCTAGCAGCGGCAGCAGCACCAGCGGACCCGGCAGGAGCAGCAGGAGGAGAAAACGCCCGAGAGGCAGCAGGAACAGCAGAGGGGGCAGCAGCAGCCGCACCAGCACCAGCAGCAGCAGCAGCAGCCGCAGCGGCCGCAGTTGCAGCAGGCGAAGGGGCAGAGGCAGGAGCGGGAGCAGGTGAAGAGGGCACAGGGCGGGGCTTGGGAGGGAGCCGCGGACGGGGGGAGTCGGGCCGGGATCGCCTCAGGTCAACAGGGGGAGGGGTGACGGCGGGGGGAAGGCCCTTGGGGAGGGGAGTCACGCCTTGGGGCCCGCTGGCTTTGACGGACTTGGGGAATCTGGAGGGGAGGGAGAGGAGGTAGGGAGGAGGGGGAGGAGTGGGAGGAGGAGAGGGAGGAGAGGAGAGGGGAGTGTGGGGATGAGATGAGATGGGAAGGGATGAGATGTGGTGGAATGGGATGGAACGGGATGGAAACTGAGTGCGGTTGTATACGGGGTGAAGGAACGCCAAGAGGACAGAGAGAGGAGGGAGTTGGGAAGGGAGTTGGGAAGGGAGTTGGGAGGGGAGTTGAAGGGAGTTGGGAAGGGAGTTGAAGGGAGTTGGGGAGAAGGCCCTGCACACACAGCGCCCTACCGTTTCTCAGGAATCTCAACATTTTCAGCTGCTGCTTCTTCAGCAGTTGCAGCAGCAGCCATGGCAGCAGCCATGGCAGCAGGGGAAGGAGACGACTGCAGAAGTGCTGCTTGCCTTCTCTCTCTCGCCTCCTCCCTCCTCACTGCCTCCTGGACCATCGTCGACCACCCTTCGCCCCCTCCCTCCTCTCCTCTCCCTCCATCCTCATCCTCCCTCTTTTGCTCTCTTGACGCATCCTCCTTTCCGCTCTCTTCGCCTTTCCCTTCGCCACGTGCCCCTTTGCTGCCTTCTATCTTCCTCTCTCCTGTCACGCTTTGCGTGGCTGCTGCTGCTGTTGATTCTGCTCCTCTTTGGGATGCTGATGCTGCAATGGAAGACACAGAGGCGGCAGCCCTAGCAGCTTGGGGTCGGGAAGGGGCCTTCGTTACGCTGACTTTCTTAACTGTCACCCTGTCAACAGACCCCATCACCGCCTCTTCACCCTCTCCATCCGCTGCCCCTGCTATTCCAGCGCCACCAGCAGCACCATCAGGAGCTGCGCCACCAGCAGCAGCAGCAGAAGCAGGCCCACCAGCTGTGCTCTCTCCAAAAGTAGTCTTTGCCGCACTCACAGCCCCTCCTGACCCCACTGGCCTCTGTAGCGCCGGCAGGACTTCGTCCCTTTCCTCCTGTCTCTTCTCTGCCACGCTCTTGACAGCCGCACTGGCTTTGCTGGGCTCTGCGCCACTCACAGCCCCCCCTGACCCTGGCGGCCTCTGTAACGCCGGCAAAACCTCTTCCCTTTCCCCCTCCTTCTGCTTCTGCTCCTTCTTCTTATCCTTCTCCTCTGCCCCCCCAGACCCCGCTGGCCTCTGTACCGCCGGCAAGACTTCCACCCTTTCCTCCTTCTTGTTCTTCTTCTGCTTCTTTCCCCCCACGCCCTTGCCAGCCACACTGCTTGGCTCTGCCGCACTCACAACCCCCCCTGACCCCGGTGGTCTCTGTAACGCCGGCAAGACTTCCTCCCTTTCCTCCTCCCTTGCCTCCGCCTTTGCCTTTCCTTTTATGCCTTTCTCCTCCCCACCTTCCTTCGCAGCCCCACTGCTAGTCATCGCCCCACTCGCAGCCCCCCCTGACCCCGGTGGTCTCTGTAGCGCCGGCAAGACTTCCTCCCGTGCCTCCGCCTTCTGCTTCTGCTCCTTCTCCTCCTTCTTCTTCTTCTCCTTCTCTTCTGCCGCACTCGCAGCCGCCCCTGACCCTGGCGGCCTCTGTAACGCCGGCAAGACTTCCTCCCTCTCCTGCTCCTCCTCCTGCTTCTTCTCCTTCTTCTCCTTCTCCTTCTTCTCCTTCTCCTCCTTCTCCTTCTCCTCTGCACTCTTCACCTCTGTAACTGCACTTGAGGCTGCTGCAACTGCTAAACCTGGTCGTCTGGGGGGTGGGGTCAGTGGAGCCGTTGGTATTGCTGTTGATGCTGCTGATGCTGCTTCTTCCCCGCCCTCCCCCTTCCCCCCACCCCCCTTCCTCTGCACTTTAACTGGCTCGATAATCGCTGCCACCCCCCTAAATTCAGGGGGAAGAGTGTCTTTAACCCCGCCCTCGCCGTACATCTGGGACGGCCTTACCGCCCGAATCAGAACCGGAATTGTATCCGGCCGGGCGGCAGTGCGGAGTTTCTTGTCCGTTTGTGAAGCTGCGCTGGGGGAAGCAGGAAGGGATGGGGCGGCTCGGGCTGGGTGGCTGGGCGGCGAGACGAGCGGCGGGGCTGGCCTTTTTGGTTTCACGGGCGGCGTTGCGGCCGCTGCATTGGAAGATGAAACGGCAGATGAAACGGCAGATGAAACAGGGGAGGCAGTTGCGGAAACTTCCGTTCCAGTTCTCCCCCCTGCTCCCCCTGCTCCCCCTGCCCCCCCTGCTCCCCCTGCTCCCCCTGTTCCCCCCCTGGCCCCCCGCGCCTGCATGCGCCCCCGCTCCATCTCCTCCACCTCCCCCCACAGCTGCTCCACTAGCTGCCGAACGTCGCCGCCCATCCGCTTCACACGCTGCGCCACGCGGTCCCCCGCCGACAGCTGGTTGAGGTCCGGGTACAGGCGCATGAGGAGGAGCTGGGGGGGGGGGGAGGGGGAGGGGAGGGGGGAAGGGGAATGGATGGTGAGGGGAGTAAAGGCGCTGCCGCACGCGATCCCACGCACGCATCTGGTTGAGGCCCGGGTACAGGCGCATCAGGAGCAGCTGAAGGTGGGAGAAGGGGGCGAGAGGGGTTGGGGGGATGGATGATGGGTTAGGTGAAGTTTAGAATTATATAAAATCACAGGAATGGATGATGGGGGAAGTAAAGGCGCTGCGCCACCCAGTCACATGCAGACAGCTGGTTGAGGTCCGGGTACAGGGTACAGGCGCATAAAGAGAAGCTGGGGAGGGGTGGCGGGGAGAAGACAGGGCACGGCGGAAGGGTTTCGGGCTTTAGAGGGGAAAAGGTTCTGATTGGTTCCTGCTTTCTTTCTTTCCCTCCCTTGAAACGCCTTCTCCCCACCTGCGCCTCGAATGCACAACCCACCTGCGCCTCGGTCTTCTCCATGTCGTCGCCCATCTGGCTCGCGAACGACAGCGCGAATCGCTCCGAGGGCTCCCATCGCCGCCGCCACTCCCCCGCCGCCCCGTCCGCCTGCTGCTGCTGCGGCGCGCCTGCTGCCGACGTCCCTCTGCGCGCGGCTGACGACTGGGACACGTGGCGTCGGCTGAATGGCCCGCGAAGCACGGACTGGCCGAGCAATGCTGGGCGTGAAAAGAGCAACGGAACGCCATTGATTTGGCGCGGATACGCTAGTAACGAGGATCGACTGGGGAGGCTGGAGAATGTATGGGAGGAGATTGTAGAGGATGAAACACGGATCTTCACTAAGTCGAGCATGGTTTCGGAATGTAGGCTTCGGGAGGTTAACGGTGCACGTTCTAGACTTATTGAAGGAGCCATGGCCACAGATTCAGGAAGATGACGTAAGAAAGAAAGATGCTGTCGAAGGGAGAAACACGCCACCTAATAGCACCCCAGATGCTGTCAAAAGGAAACGAAACCGAGCCGACAGGAGGATGACCTCGGCCAGAAATAAAGGTGGCAGTTCGATCCTTGCAGCATCTACTCTCGAGTTAGCTACCACCTGCGTCTCGCAACCACCTACAGAACAAGATACCTATGATACTTGCTGCTAGAATGCTGACCATTTTCAAACCAGCACAGCCTGGCTACGTAGAAACAGCTTCATGGCTGGAGTGCATTTCCATGGTGTGCTGTACCATGAGTTGGAAGAAATGTACTCCATAGAAGCAGCTTCAACTACGTAGTGTCACTCGTTCATGATTCATTCCCGTCCCGTGGAGATTCATCAGCTGCAACTCTGGTGATTCCTGCTGCCACGTCCCCTCGTTTCCGCGATTCTCCACGTCATGGATGCCTGTGATGTGGTGGCGAGTGAGGACACGTCACGGAGGACCATGACACAGAGATGTTTGAAATATTCGATACAGAGTAGCGTGTTACATATATACTGCTCGTTTTTAGAGAACTGATGATTTGCCTTTACAACCTTTATAACCAAAACAGCTCTTGGAGCTGGAGTTGACTTCCCCAGGCGTGGTGAGCTTCGCGAATGCCAACTGCGAGATGGCGATTGCGAGGTGCATGTTTGCGTGCCTGGGTGGGCCACAAACCGCGTCACGCTGCGAAACGCAAGAACGAATCAGCAATCGAGACGCGGCATGGCGCGGAAACGTGGTGTTCCCCCCTTCTCCCAAGCGAACCCCCGCTTCCCCCTTCCAGCCAAGGCCATGCCCATTTCTCCCCTTTGCGCGCACACACGCACGAGCAGCAGGCTGGCCTCCCCTCCCCCGCGACCCACCCGCCACCCCGCGTCCACCTCCCCCCCACAGTAACCTCTCCGCCGCTCCTCTCGCTCAATTCGCGCCCCGTTGATTCAGTTCCTTCCAGCGTCGAGTGTTCAGTTTCAGCCACCGCCCCCCAAACACAGCACATTTACCAGGTGCAAGGCGCCATTTTACATAGGTTTCTTGAATTATCCGAGTCATACTCACCTCCTCGTCCTCCGAAGTGCGTTACTGTCTGCAGAACTGCACAGCGTCATTAGTGTTGGATTATTTAAAGAAAAAAGACCTCCTAACTTCAATAAACAAGTTCCGACGTGGACTTTCTTTTCCTAACGCGACTCGCCAGCATGGAGAAGTTATGCGGGCTGCTCCAGGTGGACCAATCAACGGTGGCGATGGTGGAGCATTTCGGGCGCTTCGTGAAGTCGCTGGACCCGGGTTGCCACTGCGTGCCGTGGTGCTGCTGCTACCGCGCTGCGGGGCTCATGAGCCTCCGCGTGCGCCAGCTCGACGTGCGCTGCGAAACAAAGACCAAGGTCCGCGCCTTCGTTCTCCTCGTCCCACCAATCGTCATAAACGGCGTCGCACATCAGCTTTTGAGTCGACTCAAAGCGTTCTCCTCGTCCCACCAATCGTCATGAACGGCGCCGCACATCATAACTGCATCGGGAGATCAGGCTCCGTTTCCTTTTTTCACGTCACCAGAGCCTTCCCTCCACCCTTCATTAGCACTGCCAGTGATATCCGTTTCCCATCCCCTTCTTCTGCTTCCTCGTTTCAGGATAACGTGTTCGTCACTGTAGTCGCTTCCATACAGTACCAGGCGATTCGCGAGCAGATCGAGGACGCATTTTACAAGCTGCAGGACCCGCAGGCGCAGATCCGCTCCTACGTCTTCGATGGTCAGTGTTGATTCTTGAGCGCTGGGCGGTCAGTCTCTCGCCCTTGTATTGGCGGCGCGTTTAGGTTCCGCAGGCACGTTCCGCCTTCTACAAGCTGCAGGACGCTCAGCCGCAGATTCGGTCCTATGTCTTTGACGGCGAGTTGCCGCGCGTTTGACGGTGTCCTGAGCTGCCCGCATTGCGCGTGCTGTTCCGCGGCAAACACGCCTCCCGATACGTGTGCCCTTCCGTCACCCGCCCGCGGTCGTATGCAAGCTGACTTTTGTGTCGCCGTTTCGACTCAAAAGTCGCTGTCGTATGCATTCATCCCTGCCCGGAAGAATCCGGCGTTTTCCGCCCTTTTTCCCCCCTGCAGTGGTGCGCGCGAGCGTGCCGAAGATGGATCTGGACCGCGTGTTCGACGTGAAGAACGAGATCGGTTCCCCTGTTTCCTTTTCGTTCACCACTCCCCAATACCCATTCTCCATACCCCCCCCTCCACCCCCCCCTCCACCCCCCCCCCCCCACCAACCAGTGGTGCGCGCGAGCGTGCCGAAGATGGATCTGGACCGCGTGTTCGAAGTGAAGAACGAGATCGCGCACACCGTTGAGGAGGAGCTCGAAAAGGTGAGAGACAACGGGGAAAAGCAAGCGGGTGTGGAAAGGGGGGGGGAGTGTGTTGGCGTGTGTTGGAGTGTGTTGGAGTGTGTTGGAGTGTGTTGGAGTGTGTTGGCGTGTGTTGGCGTGTGTTGGCGTGTGTTGGCGTGTCTAGCACACCTTCTAGCAGCTACATTCGTCTTCGTTTCTACCTCCGGAACGGTGTAAGTAACACCCCTTCGTTTCGTCCATGTACATTGCTCCACCTGTAACCCCGGTTGTAACGAGCAGGCGATGAAGGCGTACGGTTACCGCATTGTACAGACGCTGATAGTGGACGTGCAGCCACCCCGATCCCTCTTGCTCCCCTGAACCCTTCATCCAGGCAATGAGGACGTACGGTTACCGCATTGTGCAGACGCTGATTGTGGATGTGGAGCCGGACAACAGAGTGAAGGCCGCTATGAACGAGATTAATGCGGGTACGGGGTGTAGATGATGTATATTATTGTACATATGCATATAAACACATATATGCAGTCATGTAGCGCAGGCTCTGATAGAGGATATGGTCGGGACAATCAGGGTGGTGGCACGAACGAGAGCAGCGAGGGTAAGGGCACCGCTGAGAGCAGGTGCGTTTGCGGCGCCTCAAAAGCACCGTCTGAGAGCAAGTGAAACCGTGTGAGTGAGTTTGGCGATGTGAATACATGTGCGTGTCTGTGTGCGTGCGTGCGTGTGTGCGTGTGTGTGTGTGTGTGTGCGTGTGTGTGTGTGTGTGTGTGTGTGTGTGTGTGTGTGTGTGTGTGTGTGACTGTGTTGTGTGCACAACCATCCGTTGTGTACGCCCATTTCCACCTGCTCGGATGCTCCTGCTCCCAACTTGTGCTTTCCACGCAGCTCAGAGCCGTCGCATGGCCATGCAGGAGACGGCGGACGCACTTCCTTTCCCGTTTGCCCACCTGTCTCAAAGTCCTGCTCCTTGAGTCCACTTATCCCCACTTGTCCCCACTTGTCCCCACGTGTCCCCACGTGTCCCCACGTGTCCCCACGTGTCCCCACGTGTCCCCACGTGTCCCCACTTGTCCCAAGCTCACCTCGTTTGCCCACCTGTCCTGCTCCCTGCTCTCCCGCCTTCTCTCAGCTCAGCGCATCCGCATGGCCACACAGGAGAAGGCAGAGGCTGAAAAGATTCTCCAGGTAATGTTATGCTACCTCTCCTCGCACTTCGTCCGCCCACATTCCACCCACTTTCTACTCATCCTGCGCTCATTTTGGTGCACCTTGTCTTGCCACGTTCTATCCGGCTCATGGTCTCTTTTGAGGCGCCTCAAAAGCTGCTCATGGTATCTGCACCCGTGATGACGCGGGTTGTCATCGAGATGTCCTTTTGGGCTTTCAGTCGACTCAAAAGTCATCCGATGGTGCGAGCTGGTTTTGCGATGTCTAAGCAAGAAACCAACTCCACGCGCCCCTTCATCCTCTTCCAATTCAGTAGCAGATTTTTTAGCCTGCTGAAACCGACTCGAAGATGCACAATTGAAAGGTCTGGTCTGCCTGTCCCTGCAGGTGAAGAAGGCGGAAGGAGAGGCGGAGGCAAGGTACCTGGCGGGCGTTGGCGTGGCTCGACAGAGGCAGGTGGGTCTGCCCTGCTGTGCTTGGTGTGGGGACATCTGTTTGCTAATCTTTCTCGTCCCTCCCACTTCTCTAGCACCTCTCTGACCCTGCTTCATATCTCCCCTGTCCTCCCTCTCCCACTCCCCTCCCCCCCCACCCCACCCCCACCCCCACCCCCCTGTCTCCCCCCCCTCTCTGCCCCCTATTCGCACCGACCCATTTCTCGTGTGCTCCTCCGCCCCTACCACCACCCGCCTCCCTTTTTGAGGCGCCTCAAAAATAGCCGCCTCCCTTCCCCCAGGCCATAGTGGACGGGTCGAGGGACTGCGTTGTTGAGGCCGCACTTTACTCTCCCGTTCTCCCCGCCCCCACCAATTCCCCCTCCCCCTCCCCCTTCCCCCAGGCCATAGTGGACGGGTTGAGTCACAGTGTGACCTGCACTGCACGTTTACTCCTGTTCCTTCCCCCCCCTCCCCCCGCTCCCCCCCTCCCTTCCAGGCCTTAGTGGCCGGGTTGAGGGACAGCAGTATTGAGACGGTGTGATTTGCACTGCACCTTAACTCCTGTTTCTCCCCCCTCCCCCCCACCCCCTCTCCCCAATGCTACCCCCCCTACCAGGCGATCGTGGACGGGCTGAGGGACAGCGTGATGGGATTCTCGGAGCAGGTGCCGGGCACCACGCCCAAGGACGTGCTGGACATGGTGAGTGGGATGTCAGGTACCTAGTCACATGTGAGACCTGCTCTCGAGTGAGTTCACGAAGCTACATAGTGTGTAGGTGCTTGCTGGGAACTACACCTCTGGGTGATGATGCCTTGCATGCGTCATGAATATTGATGGACTTAGAAAAGCCTGTCTCAGAAAGGCTGTCTCAGAAAAGCCTGCCTCAGAAAAGGCTGTCTCAGAAAAGCCAGTCTCAGAAAAGCCTGTCTCAGAAAAGGCTGTTGTCTGTTATTCCAACACATCCTCTGCCTCCAGATGCCGATGATTTTCATCTGTCACGCCGTGTTCTTTTCACAGCCATGTTCCTGTGCCCTTCTGGTCATTGTGTTTCACTACAATCGACACCATGAAGGACATGGCAGGGGACATCGTGTGTCATGTCATGCCGCTTCCGTGTGTGTACTGCCTTCTCGTGCTCTCACGTGTCCTGTGCTCTCCCGGTTCCCTCCCCAGGTCATGATGACGCACTACTTCGACACCAGGCGGGACATCGGAGCCAACACCATGTGTCATGTGTCATGTGTCATGCCGTGTTCCTGTGCCTGCACGCATCATCGTTCGCTCTCCTGTTTGTTTCCCCCAGGTCATGATGACGCAGTACTTCGACACCATGCGGGACATCGGGGCCAACAGCATGTCTCATCTCTTCCCACTGATGTTGTTTTACTCCTGTTCCTGTGCTCTCGCTGCCCTCAGGTCATGATGACGCAGAACTTCGACACCATGCGGGACATCGGGGCCAACAACCGCTCATCCACCATTTTTGTGCCGCATGGACCAGGGGCAGTGGCTGACATTGGTGCGCAGATCAGAGACGGGCTTCTGCAGAGCACAGTGGCTGCTAGAACCAGTGTGTAAGAGCTGTTGACATCGACCATTCGTACCAGGGGTAACCAGCGAGACGGATCATTCATCTACCATCGTTGTGCCGCACGGACCAGGGGTAGTGGATTCCGGAGTACTGTGGCTGCTGGAAGCAATAGGTATGGGTGAGGAGTAACAGTGCACCGGTGCTGTGTACACCGGTGCACCGGCTCACTGTATGTACAGGAAGCATAGGCATCAGCAGCAACCTAGCATTTGTTGATGTGGATATGGGTGGTTTGGTGGTGTTGTGTGTTGTGGAATTAGAATGCATACCCATGTGAAGGTATAGCATGAGTTGTGTGTTTGTTTATTCACTTTTGACTGGATATCATGTGTCAGCAAAATATTACTCTTAAGGGAATGAGGTTGGGAAACTTGCTACTTGCTGTTGAAATTTCTATATGACTAGGGTGGGAAACTTGCTGCTGATAGGAATTTGTGACAGATCGTGCAGACTTGAGCAGAACTGTGTCATCTCAGCTTACCATCAGCAGCAACGCACCAACCTGCAAGGGCACTTCTCTGCTGCCCGTATTTTTTAGGCGCCTCAAAAATAGACTCCACAACGCACCAACATGCAAGGGCACTTCTCTGCTGCCCGTACCAGACGCAACAGGGCCAAGGCATCACAGGGACAGCTGATGCTGCTGCTGCTGGGCCGTGCAGCCAAACCAGCCATAGCACCAGCACGCACAGCCCACCAGCCAAAAGCAGCAAGTCAAGGCAGCCAGCACGCAGCAGACACAAGCCATCCACCACCAGCCACGCCACACCTGCCTCTGCACCCTCAAGCCGCCCCGCAGAAAACGCTGGGATTGCCATCGCTCCTCCATTGACCCAATGGGTGTACTCTGCACTCTGTATCCTCTGGAGAGTGTCCAGCTTGTCCCTCGCACTCGCCGCAGCCTCAACCAGCCTGTCCCATGTGGCTGCTGGCTCGGCACCCCTGCCACTCCTGCCAGACCTGCAAATCCCCAGCCTTCCCCAATCTGCTGACTTGATATTCCCGAGGACAGCCGCATTTGCCAGCTAGCGGGAATGGAATAGTAGCCTGACAGTGGTGAGGTAGCCTGCTGCGACTGGTGATAAGTGCCGCTTTCATCGACCACTCTGATCTCCCGCTTGTAGCCGATTGTGACACGACCTCAGAGGAGTGTGCAGTGCAGTCGTCATAGGGGACAAATGCGGGTTGTGGAAGCGGGCGCCGTTGAAAATGTCGAACTGTGTAAGCCAAAATCGCAGTTCTTCGACAGACTCAGGGGTGAGGAGAATGGCCGCCCCCCATGAGTGGCATTTGGCGATCTGCGTGAGAAGGTGGTGGGAGAAAGCGCGCGCGACAGTGCCAAGCGCCAAGGACATGGAGGCCAACATGCCGGTGATGCGGGCAGCGCGGCGAACAGGGATGCGACGCCCGTTAGTGCCGAGTGTGCCTAATTCATCCAGCTCGGCAAAAAGCCGGTTGCGCCGATCCGCATCGACCGAGAAGGTGGTGGTGCGCGTGTCCAGCAAGAGGCCCAAGAACTTCAAAGATTGTGCCGGTGCGAGTTGTGATTTTTTGAAATTCACAACAAAGCCCGCAGCTGCGAGGTCGGCAATGATTATGGAGCGGTTGTGAAGAGCCTCCGCTCGAGTGGCACTGATGAATAGGATATCATCGACGTATGGAATAAGGCGGATGCCACGGCTACGCCAGCGTTTGGCGAGTTGCTTAATTAACTGGGTAAACACAAACGGCGCTGTAGCCAGCCCGAAAGGCAAAGAGAGGAATTGGTAGTCCTGCCCTTGCAAGGAGAATCCGAGAAACTGCCAGAAAGCGGGGTGAATGTCGACGTGGTGGTATCCAGATTTGAGATCGATCGTGAATAGCCAATCGCCTTCTTGCACCAAATCAGGAACGCGAGTAAGTCCTTCGTATCGAAAACGAGGTACTGAGAGGAATGAGTTGACATGCCGCAAATCCAATATCAGTCTCTTTTTTGAGGGTTGGACAATCACGTTTAAGGGGCTAACGCATGTGAGGGTTGTGGAAGGAGGAACGACCCGAGCTGCACCGGTGGCGAGAAGCTCGGCCACTGCGCCTACGGCGAAAGAGGTGAATTGCAAAGCACCGGCATGGTTCTTAGTACGAGACGGAGGGGGCTCAGAGGCAACCCATGGTAGGCGATATCCAGATGTAATCACCGATAGAATCAAGCGGCTGTCGCACCAGGCGGACCACCATGCAGCGCGGTCACGGAGGCGGCCTTGCATGCGGGTAATCTTGGTTGCGTCATCGGCATAGGCCGAAATGGTTCCGAGCTCTGGTAGGAGAGGGAACACAAATAGGGACGGTAGAGAATCAGGAAGGTACCTCATGTAGTTCCGAACGCAACGACTTTTTTTTTTTTTTTTTTGGAAGGAAGGCAAACGCTAAATATAGGTGCCCGCTTGCTCAGTATTATTCGGCCACGTCATCCCTTAAGTGATAAACCATGGGTTGGGAATGTGAACTTGGCATTTTGGGCTGTAGTTGGTCGTCATATATTCCTTGTCGTGAACCAAAAAGTGTTTCGGGAAATGTTGCCAAAGCATTCGCCAAGTGTTCTAATCTTAGTCCGCCAGGAGTGTTCACCCACATGTTCGCAAAACGTTTGCAAAGCATTTGCGCAAATGCTACGCAATCGTTTTGCGAGCATACGTTTTTTGCGATGGACATAGAAATATTGTCATGAATCTTATCAACGTCAGTCTTTAAAGGACGCACACACATTGTGTATGCGTCTTGTGGGCACGTTCACGTCTTCTTGCACGGGCCCAACGTGCAAGACCGTGTGGCCGTATGACGCGCGTATTAATCTTGCTTGAATGCACAAATGTGTGTGTGTGTGTTTTTTTTTTTTTTTTTTTTTTTTAAATTAAGAACGCTGCAACATCGGAGAGGTTAAGCAAACTTTACACAATCTTAGCTGGCCGATTGGCCCCTTGGCCCCTTTGGGGGCAATTAGCCATCCCATGCCCGGGTTCACGGCAATAGAAACAACGGCCGTCGCCGTCCCTACGCCATGTGTTCCAAAGGCGCTCCCCTTGGCCGCGAGGGCGAAGAGGGGGTTCAGGACGGGAGGTGGGATGGGTGGGCCGAGTGGGCCTCTTCTTGCTGGCCGCTACAATCTGAGAAGCGGCCTTCACATTCTTATCCTCTACCACTTCCCCATACTTAATCTTAAGGGCCATATTGGCCACTTCGAAACCGCGTTGATCCGCGGTAAACAAAAAATGAATCTTCTCTTCCGCCTCCTCTACTATCTGCTGGAGATAGTCGGCGGCTTGTTCCCCACCGTCAAGTGGTAAAACCGAGATAGCATGACGTGCAATAGCTTGAATGCGCTCAAAACTAAAAAGTTGCGTACGAATTCCATCGCTTTTAACTAAGGAAGAGCGCAACTGAGGACGTGCAGGTGGAATAGGAGCGAGGGTGAGCGATGCAGAAGCGGATTTCGGGCGGGCGGCATTACCTTCGTCGAGCGTGGCATGGGGTGCTTCCTCGTCCATTTCGTCGTCAACGGGCTCGGGGGCGGGCGCCGGGAGGCGAGAGCGTGGGGCCACCGTCGCTGCGACGCGTGCTGGTTCCGGTGGCGGTGCGGGATCGGCGCCATTGCCCCGCTGGAGCGCCGCGAGAAGGCCAAGAACGTGGTGAATGGTCTCGTTGTTGGTGCCGGCGTTAACATTGTTGTCGGTGTAGCGAGCAGAATTATGTTCTGCAGAATGAGGCGCTGTAGATGCAGTGGAGCGCGCTGTAACGCGTTCGCCAGCAGCTCCTGTGAAGATTCGCTGGAGATTGCGCTGGGCTGCAGGATCCAGGCGCGCAATCATTTCGGCGATTTCTGCTGCTCCAGGGGTCGAGATCTGCGGAATCCCGCGCGGATTCACTGCGGCAGGAGGAAAATCTGTGCGGCGATCTGCGCGATCCCGGTCCCGATCCTCGCGATCCTGGCGAATCTGGGGCGCTGGGGCGTTGAGATCGCGCTCATGATGACGCCCTGCGCGCGCAGGATCACGATCATGATTGTGGTCCTCACGCGCAGGACCGTCATGATTGCGTTCGGTAGGTGGGGGCCGGGAGGGGGCGTTTTCGGCAATCGGGTTTGTGTCGACGCGGTTCTGCTCGTTACGCCGCTCGCCCTGAAATCCGGGGGGGAAATCGCGATTGCGTGACGTGTTACGATCCGCGTCCCCTGCCGCGTTTTCGACGTGCTGAACAGGGTCTTGACGCGCGCCACTCAGCAAATCCAAAGCGGTAACTGCGCCGTTACCTCCGCCACGACGAGGAGAACGAGATCGTTCTCTATGCTGAGATGAAGAGTTTCGGTCCCCCTCACGTACAGGGGACCCACGCCTTCCACCACTCCTAGTATTCACACGAGGAGCAGGAGGCCTACCACTTGCAGCGGAAATGAGTCCGCTAACCATTGTAGAGTATCTAACAGAAATGACGTCTTGCAGCAAGAGACTTCTATGCCCAGATCTGGGCATAGAGGTTTAGAGTGTGCTGGTGGTATACAAGTTGGAACAGAAAAATGCAAATGAGACTAGGTGGCAGGTCTGAAAGACCTGCCGATAGATGAAGGAGTTTGTCTCCTTTACAGCAAACTCCTCTTCTAGTCGAATCACAATCTGTAAATTTTTTACTACAAAAGAATTTCTCATCTTTCCACGTTGCTCTGCCTCATGGCGCTCAAGGCTGTTGCGGTCGGAGGTGTCACTAAGACCATTGCACACGAGCATCACGCTGCTCCGCTGCCGCTGCACCAGAGACTCTCTGGTGATTCCCTCAGAGAGAACCGGCTGCCTGCGACGCACATGCGCTGCCTTGCACATGCCTCGGTCTGGAGGCCGAATGCAGCATTGCGTGAATTAGGCGTGTACGATGTCCGAAAATGATCGATCATCCAGAACGCCATCATCGTCGTCTTCCGACTACCGTGCATGGCTGGTAGTCGAAAATTATCGACCATGCAGAACGCCATCGTCGCTGCGGTCTCCCTGCACTCTCGCTGTGGCGTCGCTGTGGCCTCGCTGCTGAGCTCGCGTGCAGAATCCATCTCGCAACAGCGCACGTTTGATTCCTCCGAACCGAAGGCTTCGGCTATTTCTAGACCGGGTTTCTCGCATCCATCTGGCACGAGAAGCCAACTACAGAATAAGCTTGGGAATGACATCATTGAGCAGAGATTAGCTGAGGGGTGGGGTGGGGTGGGGTGGGGTGGGGAGTGTTAACATTATATAAGTTATAATTTATATAGGCTTGGTAGGTTGTTACTGAACCTTTCTGTAGGGGGTACAAACCCCTCCTTGTACTCCCCTCTCTTCTAATCCAACCCCTTTTCTCTCCTCAACTTTCCTAGCACCTAAAACCTCTCGCCATTCTCATGGCTCCTCCTAGCTCCTAGCTAAACCTTGTGCCATTCTATGGCTTCCTAGCTAAGCTAGTTTCTGATATGGTATCAGAGCAGTTCGTTCCGTGTGGGCCTGCTCCTCGCGTTTCCGCTGCGTGCTCGTTTCTCTCTCTATCTCGCGCTGCCATGGCGGCCGCGTCAAGCTGCTGTGGCCGCGTCGTCGTGCCGCGGCGCCGCTGTCGACGTCCATGGCGCCCGCGTCCAGCTGCTGTGGCCGCGCCGTCGTGCCGCAGCTCCGCCGTCGCGTCAAGTTGCTGTCGCGACGTGACGGCGCCGTCACGCTGCCGCGGCGTCTACGCGACAGCGCGCAGTCGGCGTACCAGCGACGTCGTGCTGCCGTCGCAGCGTCGACGCCCCGCTGCGGCATCGACGCCGCTCCATGACGGCGTCGTCGGGCTGCAGCCGGCCGCGTGACGCTTGTGGCGCCGCTAGACCGGCCGCCCGCATGTCAGCCTGTGGCGCCGCCCCCCCCCCCCACCCCCCCTCCTTCCCCTGCGCCCTCTTCCATTCCGCAGACGACGGCTGACTCCCGCCGGCCGTCCCACAGTCGCGGGGCCAGGCCACGTCACCGAGAGGTGCGGGTGCCGCCGCCGCTGCCGCTGTTGTCGAAGCCGCCGCCGCCGCCGCTGTCGCCGCTTGCGTCGGGGCCACGCAGCCGCACGCCGCCGCCGCCGCCGCTGTCGACACTGCCGCCGCTGCCGCCGTCGCCGCCGCAGCCCCTGCTGTCGACGTCGCCGCCTCACGCGCCGTGGGGTCGACCGACCTAGAGTCGCTGTCACTGTGGCTGGAATGGGGGTGCTAGGTTAGGGGGTGTGGGTGTGTGTGGGTGTGTGACTACCAAGCCTAGGGGGTGTGTTAACATTATATAAGTTATAATTTATATAGGCTTGGTAGGTTGTTACTGAACCTTTCTGTAGGGGGTACAAACCCCTCCTTGTACTCCCCTCTCTTCTAATCCAACCCCTTTTCTCTCCTCAACTTTCCTAGCACCTAAAACCTCTCGCCATTCTCATGGCTCCTCCTAGCTCCTAGCTAAACCTTGTGCCATTCTATGGCTTCCTAGCTAAGCTAGTTTCTGACAGGGAGGCCAATGACCCAAGTCCAATACTGTACCACAAGTTCGGCTACTGTACCACGATTGGAGAAACTCCGATATCCGTTTCCAAATTTGTCTGAGTCACCTGTTACGAAGTGGTGTAAATAACCCTGTCTATGCCAATGCTCCTAAATGCATTCATGTCAATGGCAGAGGACAGGCAGGGGGACCTCCAACCAGAGCATTGGTATTTATTTCTGCTAATTAACTGTACACGCAAACACACTCACACACAAGCACAAACAATCCCTACCCTATCGAAAACCTAGGACTTATGACAGCTCACGCCCACCACCTGCCAGCAACCGCAGAAAGATTCCCGGTAAAAGAATATTAGCCTAGCTGACAGCTGGGGTCATGTCTATAACGCTGTAAAAGATCACCGCAGGAAGACAGCGGCGAGCCAGAGGTTGATAATGGAGAATTCACTAATGAGGACGGCAGGGGAGCCGATGCCGAGCAGCGGGAAGATGTCAACTCTCAGCCATGCTTGAATCAGACTGCCCACCATCGCTCCCAGGACAAGACCTCCTGTTGACAGCCCTGCTGCCTTGCCTGCCAATGATGAGAATGGAAAGAAAACGGGGAAAGGAAACGGGGAAAGGCAACAGGGAAAGGAATGAGGGAATATGTCGACTCTCAGCCACGCTTGAATCAGACTGCCCACCACTGCCCCCAGGACGAGACCCCCTGTTGACAACCCTGCTGCCTTGCCTGCCAAGGTGGAAATGAAGAGGAAATGGAAGGAGAGCAGCCACTCAGGGAGGGGTGGAATAAAGAAGAGCAACCTTGCCTGCACCAAACTGCCCTCCACTGAATGTTAGATCAACCCTCCTGATAGCCCTGCTGCTGTGCCGGGAATTATGTTGCGGTGATAAAGAAAATAGATTGTTTGGCAAGAGTAGAAATAAAGAGACATACACAGCAGCAGGGCTGGTAAATGGAGGGGGAAGGGGCAGAGGAAGAGAGAGGGCCCACTCACGCCCACTCACACAATCACCCATCATTTCAACCATCTTCCCCCCCACGCTAACCCTTTCCCCAAGAGAGGTAGGGTGGAACCTGTGTGACGAACAGGTAGAAGATTGTACTCGCATTTACTCACACACTCACCATCATCACATCCACAAATCATCACCCCAATGATTAATTAATTCCCACGCCATCCTCACAGCGAATGCATAACACACGTAGAGGTTCCGTATTAACCCAAGCTACGATTTTTGCAAGCCCAGCACATCCCCGAGACAACGATCCCAACTCCCCGGAACTCGGGGACAATCCCGAGGTAGGTCCGGGGCAATCACCAAACCTACATTAATTCAGCCTGGCTAGTCACCCATCCGTCACTCTCACTTCCCCCACCAACCACACGCAAATACCCCCCACACTTTCACACATTCATTCTCACTCACCCATTCCCACGCCATCCTTCCGCAGCGAGTACAGCAGTACCAAACACTCACCACCCTCAGACATTCACGATTCAGCGCATTCACCCCCACTCACCCATTCCCACTCACCCATCCCCACTCACCCATCCCCACGCCGTCCTTCCGCAGCGAGTACAGCGCGAACCCAAACGCCAGCGCCAGCTGCAGGCCCGGCACATCCCCGCCCGTCGCCGCTGGCCCGTACAACGACCCCCCGAGATCCCCCGACGATAATCCCGAGGTGTACGTCCAAATCAGCAGCGACGCAAACACTGCGGATTGCACCGCAAGGGCTTGGCTGCCGCTGCTGGTGCTAGTGTTAGGCGAGGTGACCGTTACTGGGGAGGATTTGAGGGCCTTTTGCAGCCAGGAGGGCGGCGCGGGCGGGCGGGGTTTCTGCACGTCTGCGAATCGCACGCTGTTGTCGACCACCTCGCCGGCGCGACGGCGGGAGAGGGATTGCATGAGGAGGATGTCGTAGGCCGCTTCGACCTGTGGGCGGTTTGGGGGGGGGAGGGGGGGAGGGGGAGTGGGAGGGGGAGAGGGGGTTGGAGGGAAGTCGAGTCAAGACAGTAGTCACGACAAGGAACGCTGCTGTCCACCACCTCGCCGGAGCGACGGCGGGAGAGGGATTGCATGATGAGCATGTCGTAGGCTGCTTCGCCCTGCGGAATTGAAGGAGGGGGAGGGCGGGAGGAGGAGGGTGGGTTCGAGGGCAACAAGGGAAAAAGAGGTAAAGCAAAGAAGTAACTTGATAAGTCGGTACGAGAAAGTTTTTTTGTGAGGGCTCGTTTTACTGTTTATTGACGACGAGAACCTCGGAACACCTAAAAATGGCTGTAATAGATTAGAATAACGAAAAAATAATATTCCGGGCCGCAAAAGCGATGAGAATCAAAGCTCACACTACGTTTCTAACGGAAATTGGGTGAGCTAGTACTTCCAGTTCAACTTCCAATTTCAAGCATCTGACAGCTGAAGATCTGGCAACATACATAGCCGTTGCTCCCATAATTTACTATCTCTCCGTTTGTTAAGCTTAAAAGCCGACGTTTCTCTCCCAAGAAACGTAAGAGGGCCATCTTCCAGGAAAACAAAACGACGTTTTATTTCACAAACAAGCCCTTAAAATCCAATGTCCAAAACAACACGCGGGATGCTCACCCGCAGAAGAAGTTCCTGATCGGCGGTGCCTGGATCCGTAATTCGCTTCTTCGCTCGCAGGATGTCGTCGAACGTCGCTCCCTCCCTCACCCCCAGCAGGTCCAGCGCGTTCTGGTAGGTCATCTCCGACGGCGGTAGGTCGTCCTGCTGCTTCGCCTGCACTCGCACGCATCGCCGTGCGATGCATCGCGAAGAGGGAGAGGGCCTAGCGAAGTTGGCGAGCTGAGTAGGCCTAGAGAGGCCTACGCTGTGAATAGATAGCGCTCCGAACCGTAGAACCTGTGCCATGGTTCCTTCTGCTGCCGTGGAGCAGGCGTAAATGCGTTGAACAAGGGACCCTCTCTGCCAAATAAATCTCTCTCAGCAATTATGGCGTATTCAAGGGCCACCAAGACTTCAGGCGATTATTTTCGCAGTTATACCTGTCACTGCAAGAAGAAATGGATGCCGCGATGCTTCTAACATCCAAGAGTGAAGGCTGGAAAGCAGCCAGTGCAGTGCAACCGGCACACTGTACTAGGACGGATTTAGGACGGAAATGATAGGGATGAGTGGGAGGAGGGAAACGAGGGATGAACGGGGCGAGATGACAGGAAAGGGGGCAAGGGGAGGAAGAGGTTAAAGACACTGTTTTTTCCAGATCAGGACACCCTGCACTACCCGTCAGCTGGAATGCATCCTAAAAAGTACACCTGGGTTAAATGTAGGCCAAAGTGGAGAGCGCATGCCTCTTCCAATGGCAGGGCGAGATGGATAGGGTGAAAACCATACAGTGTGCATTAGGAGAAGAAAACAATTGAATAACGAGGAATAACCACCCTCTATTACAGGTCACATAAGGCTCTCATGACGTGGCGACATCAGCTCAAACCTCAGGGCCAAAAATCCCTTTCGTCGAGTAGTGTGATTCGTTGGACTACGGAAGATGGTGTGCCTGGCACGGCGATGTCGATTGGTGAAAGAAAGCGGGAATGCGAAGGCTGACAAGGACGACGAATGGTTTCGAGACACATACACCCCAATGACATGGGAGCGGGGATGGATTTGTGGCAGCCATGCACAGATCATCTGTCCAAACCAGGCATACCGTTTCGAGAAGCAGCCCACTAACGAGGTCAAAGCTGCAGTGTATAAACGTAATACACTATCTGTGTTAAACAGCAAATACGAACTACCTTGAACCGAGGAACAGCGCTGCACCTGCCCCCACTGTTCCCTTAGCTTTTCCACTGTAGATAAGCTCTTATTACTCTCCTCCACTCATGCTTCCATTGTCCTCCCGCCGTGATTCCCCACCAGCCTGCCTTGCGTAGTAGCCTGTGCTTTTCCGCAATCCGCGCGCTATGGCGGCATCGCGGCTTTGCGGTCAACCCCCGACCTGTGTCCGCGGCCTGCGGACGCGTGACGCTGGCAGCCTGTCGTCCAAGCAGATCAAACAGGTAGGAGTATGAACACCAACTAGTAGACGCCAAAACTCTAATACTATGGAAGTGCGAAGGGGTTGTCTGTCCTAAGCGTGCCGAGCCCCGGAAAAAAAGGCGGGAAATAGGCGAACTTTGACGTCGAGCTAAGCGAAAACATTTGGGGGCTTCAAACACGCGAGGAAATTCAGAGGCAACGAACGAAACAGATACCAGGGATACAAAAATTGTACGAGATCAGCCCTTTATTACGCTTGCCAGAAAAAAAGAAATAACAGGGAGTTGGCAAAACATGAGCACTCAACAAAGCACGAACTCCACAGCATTGGAATGAAACAACGTGATACTCAACAGAACTGGAATGATCTTTTTTACGGGCATGCGGGTACCGCATGCGAAGCAGCACTAGTTAGGAAGTAAACGCCGGCGAATACACCGATCTGATCAATAGCACGTACCGATCCGATCCGCTTCCTCCCCTCCCGGTTCTCGCTTTCTCCACTGCACCCTGTCCTCCCCTTTCCCATACCCCTCAGTTCTCATTGTTTCTCTCTCCACGTTTCCCTCTCGCCACGTGTCTCTGTGCTCCCGCTTCCCGTCGCCGCGGCCCGTTATCCCTCTAGCAGCAGCTTTTCGTTCCCCGTGGTGCGCGGCCTGCTCGGCGACCTCTTAATTATGCTAACGTCAGGTTAGGCTGCTAACATCACCATGCGCAAAATAGGTAGCAGCAGCCTAACTTAATGCCAGGTAGAACCCAAAGCATTCACTCCTTAAAAAAAAATATATATATATATATATATATATATAATAATAATAATCACATAGCCACCCCTCCTCTACCATACCTTCCTGAGCTTGCCCTCCGATCTGACGTTCTATCACATCCTCGCACGTTGTCTTCCTCTTTTTAAATGCTCAACCCACCCACCCACCCACCAAATCAGCGTGAGTGCCGCGTCGGCATCCCTGCCATCAGAAGCCGCAGTTCAGATGGGCGGGGAACGTGGGACGGCAGGGACGGATGAGGAGCAGAGAGCGCCATGGTTGCAGGAGGGAGGGTGACAGGATACGCAGGGTGCAGCAGGAGCTATTTCAATGGGCCACGCAACTCCCTGCGAGGTTGACTCACCTGGAGGAAGTTCTGGATCCTGAGCAAGTGAGTGGCTGGAAGTTTGTGTTGACTAGAAATTCACACAGGGTGGAGCAGGGTGTATGGCGATGGGTCTTGCTCGCAACTCCCTGCGAGATTGTCTCACCCGGGGGGAGGAGTTGGACGCTGAGAAGGTGAGTGGACTTATGTTGTCGACTCACAGATTCACACAGTGGAAAGCAGGAATTTGTGTGCACCCGTCCATACACATGCATGTATGGGTTGACTCATAGCTTCCTCCCATCCCACGTTCCCCACCCCCAGGTGAGTCAACCCTCGCTCGCAATCAAAGCTTCCTGCAGGGTTGACTCACCCTGGTGCATGTTGTTAATCGGCAAGCGAGTGGCAGAAGAAGGCAATGACAGCTGCTCCCTCCCACTATAAGCCGAAGTACAATCCGTCTCTGAGATCTCGTGTTCTTCCTGCTCTCCTCCCTATGTGTATGCATCAGGAGCTTGAGAGGCTTGAGGAGCTTCGGTCGGAGGTGGAGAGACAATTATTGCCTGGAGTTGGCTTGCAGGTCATCCTGGAAGGCAAACCATCCCGTACTTTTCCTGATCCCCCCTGCGTCCGCGTGTGTGTGTGCATGCGCCAGGAACATGAGAGGCTTGAGGAGCTTCGGTCGGAGGTGGAGAGGGGCTTGAAGATCGTAGCGCAGGCAGAGGAGCTGGGTTCATCATATGGTGCCAAGAGCAGGCGTGGCAGCTGGTGGTGCTTGCTTTTGATTTGACTCAAGTGCGTTGGAGGTGGAGAAGGGTTTGAAGATCGTAGCGCAGGCAGAGGAGCCCTGGTTAATCATGTGGTGCTCAGGGCAGGTGGGCCTGGCAGTAGCTGGAGCGTCTTGAGCACAGAGGTACATTGCACATGGCGGCGCATGTATCACAGTATCTGCAGGGAGTTGCATGGCTGTGCATGTATCATAGTATCTGCAGGGAGTTGCATGGCGGTGAATGTATCACAGTATCTGCAGGGAGTTGCATGGCTGTGCATGTATCACAGTATCTGCAGGGAGTTGCATGGCGGTGCATGTATCACAATATATGCAGGGAGTTGCATGGCTGTGCTTGTGCATGCAGCATGTGCATGTGCATGGCGTTAAGCAGCGATAAATAGAGTCCGATTCTCTAGCAACATCCCTTAACCTTCTATTTTTGACTGATTCACCCTCTATTCGTGTGTGCCGTAACTCTCCATTTCTTCTCTGCCCGTCCCACCTTTCAGAGTCACTGTTGTATTGCCATCACCACTGCCATGTGTATATTGAGTAGACTTGAAATGCCCCTCCTTCTAATCATTCATTTTCTGCCCACCTACTCTGTAACTTCCCCCCCTTCTGCTCTGCTCGTCCTCCCACCCGTCAGAGTCACTGCTGTATCGCTGTCACCACTGCCATGGCACACATTCGTTCAGCCGAGCCAGGAAGAAGAGATGGGGCTGGAGGCTGCACCCACGTTTTTGCTGCCATAGGATATAGATTTGGATGAGGTGAGTGTTGTGCTAGTCGCTCCAGCAGGAAGAAGAGATTTGAGGGGGTTGCACCAGCGCCTTTCCGACCAGATCATATAGATTTGGATGAGGTGAGAGAGATATGCTGATTGCCTGTAAGGAGAAGAGATGGGGCTGGAGTCTGGAGGTTCCATGCCCAGCTGGAGCCAGCACTGCGTTCTTTCTTGTGCTGGACGAGAGAGATCTAAATGAGCTGAATGGGAGCCGGAGGTTCCGTTCCAGGATGGAGCTGCGGATAGACTTGCGGGTAGATAGTGCTCTGCGTTCCATCGCCTGCCATGCCAGTCCCTCGTGAAGTCCGTTAAGGACCTCGGAGTCGACTGAGATGCCTCCTCCTCCTCCCCTCACTCCCCACACCACACCTCCAGGCCGAGCAGGAGCTTCGGAAATGGAAGGCGTACTTGAAAACTAACATTGCAGCCCAGCCCAGTCCGTTGTAAAGTACAGAAAGGACCCTAGAGTTAGCTCAAATGCCTCCTCCTCCTCCCCTCTCTCCCCACACCCAACAATTGTCCACATGTTTAACAATTGTCCCCTCCTGTTTAAAAGAGCGACACAATGGCAAACATGAGGTGACCTCTCACAATGAGCAACACAATGGCAAACATGAGGTGACCTCTCACAATGAGCAACACAATGGCGAGCATGAGGTGACCTCTCACAATGAGCAACACAATGGCGAACATGAGGTGACCTCTCAAAATGAGCAGCACAATGGAAGTAAGCTACCCATGTTCGCCATTGTTGAAATGAGCAGCACAATGGAAGTAAGCTACCCATGTTCGCCATTGTTGAAAAGAGCAGCACAATGGAAGTAAGCTACCCATGTTCGCCATTGTTGAAAAGAGCAGCACAATGGAAGTAAGCTACCCATGTTTGCAACCTCTGTTGTGGCTTACAAGGAAAGAGAAAGAAGCGCCAGAATAACCCAGCATGATTCTCCCGCACCAGACTCCTACATGCCTGTAAGCCCTCCCTTCCATCCTTCCCCTACTCTGCAGTGTCCGTTTATCCCCTACTCTGCAGTGTCCGTTTATCCCCTACTCTGCAGTGTCCGTTTATCCCCTACTCTGCAGTGTCCGTTTATCCCCTACTCTGCAGTGTCCGTTTATCCCCTACTCTGCAGTGTCCGTTTATCCCCTACTCTGCAGTGTCCGTTTATCCCCTACTCTCCTAACCGCTACCTCCACCTCCCCTGATTTTTCGTCACTTTTTCTCTGTCGATCACACAAACGGCTATCACTTTGCAGTTTTGAAAAGGCACTACAGGAGTATGGTGCGAGCCAGAATCAGGGGAAGCAATCCGACGCTTCCATCGTCAAAGTTTTCATGGCTGTGCCAAGTGGATCAAAAGTTGACTCTGATGATATATGACATAATGAAGGAGGCTGGTGTGGTGCCTGACAGCACCACCTTTGGCCTCATGCTCGCTTCAGCCTGCTACACCGG